TTACATTATTTGTATCTAATTACATATTCTATATCTGTTTCGATAGTAAATTACGAAACAATGTATGAACATGAATGCTGAGTGTGTGTTAATTTGTGTCCCTGCATAGATAAATCCTTCTTCATTTCTTTCCACTTATATTATAGTTTTTAAAGCAAATTTGTTTATTCATACAGTTGCTTAGAATCTAAAGCATTTCTTATAATTATTTTCGAGAATTGTAATGAATATTATAATGATTAAATACTGTTATTTAAACATATAATATCATATAATATTTAAATCACGTAATGACCAAAAATTATAAAAAGGTTTTGTTTATTATATAATATAAAAAATATTGCATTGAAATATATTTTAGTATGAATGAATATATTTTCTGTAAATGTTCATCGGTAAGTATTTTTAAATTATAATAGTTGATTTTAATGTCCTTTTGTTATTATAATACAATTTATACTATAATTTTTCATGTTTGACGGAAATAATAGATATTTTAAATATTATAGCTATAATTTTACTAAATTTATTTAAATATGATGTTAATGTATTAATAATTAAATAATTATTAATCGATACAAATAATAAAATATTAATAATTCAAATATTTTATTTACGTCTTTGAAAAATGCAAACTTTCATTCTATAATCTATGTATATGAATATAAAATTTTATATCATTATTGAAAAGAAAATATACATATACAATATATATCAAGAACAAATTTTTGACTTTAAAAATGATAAGATATATCAAATATATAATGTGGTCTATGGTTTTAAAAATATTGTGTATCGTAATATGTTTTAATTAAATATTACAAATACACATAATCCTAAAAATCTTTAAAGACCTTAATTATTTATTTGATATTGAAATGAAATATTTAAAATCTCCTGATAAAAGAAATGTAGGTATGCCAAAAATTTACAATAATCATCAGTAGTGTATCAAAGCATATATATATATATATATATATATATATATATATATATATGTTTTTATTCATGACTAAATTGCTACAGAGCGTAAAATATTTTATTGTGAATTAATCAGTAGTCATTGGTTAAAAAATTAGAAGATAAATAGTATTATCTATACAATAAATAAATATTCAATTTTCATTCATTACTTACACTTTGTGAATAAAAATATAAATACCATGTAAAGAGTATAAGTCAACAAAAGAAAAAGAATAATTTGCTCTGCAGTTTACTAAAGCCATACAATATGAATATTTGGAGAGGTCACCTATAATGGGAGCCTTCGACCTAATTTTTCGTATGATTAGTTTTGTTCGAGTCGATATTCTGTTGAACACATCGCATTTATCTAGAAGCGGATCTGATCTCATCAGGAGCACGTGACCTCTCTCAAATGTTAAGTCAGCAATTACGTTGTTTTACGCATTAGTGAACCTGCGCAAAAGCGGTATTAAGCCAATTGAAAAGGTTGTTTATCTCTTAGGAATAATATAGAACGCGGTGATCACTATAAAAGAAGACACGTGTAGCTTCATGTTATTTTGAGTTACTTTTATAAATTTTTTTTTAAAATGCAGAATATGAGCTTACATATAATAATAAATAATTATTTTATTATAGTTATAAATATAATTAAAATATTAAAGATAAAATTAATTCAATAATTTATAGAATTATTAATCTTTTATTTTATAAAATTATGTGAAAATTTAATGTAAAAATAGAAAAATTTAATTCAAAGCTAAAATTTATTAATCATCACCCACCTTCAAATATGTATATATGCTTACTTATTTTTAGTATTAAAATTGCTGTAATGCAATTATATTTGAATTTAAGTGTTTTTTTAAGAAGTATGTTATAATTACATTATACAACTCAAATTTACATTTTGGGCATATAATGTATTTCCATTCCTAATGAATATAAAGATCTGTTAATTAGTTGTATTTATTGGGAGATGAAAAATACATGAAAATAGTTTGTGCCGCTCAATTCTAAGACTACTGTAATAATATGTTGAAGATAATTAATTTTCATAAGCAATAATATATTCTATGCTTTTAAAACGTTTAATATTATATTCACTTTTTATTCCTTTATCAACTATTATCTATTATCTATTCTATTATCTATATATCATTCTATTATCAACACTTTTTATTCCTTCTAAGCTATAATAAATAAAATCTTTATAATAAGATTGAAAGAATTGAATATACGTTTCACTTTAATAATATTCATTAATCAAATATCCATAAATATATAATCTAATAATATAATTTTCATAAAAAAATTTTAAACTATACTTTATTTATATAAGTGAACAACTTAGATTAATTTTTTCTCCATTTTATATTAACCATATAAACCTTATAATGCATATAAATACAAATTTTTAATTTTAAAATATACGATTCTAGGACTAATAATATAATTAAAATATGCATTTATAATTTTAATATTAATTTAAAATAATTAAAATTATTAAAAATTCAGATTCTGAATAAAAAAATGTTCATTTATAATTATATTTTATAAATAATATATCCATTAATATTATAAAAATTAATGTTTTTATACAATCTAAATACAATTTTCTATGATATTATATAAACTTAATTATATTTTATAAAATATATTGCATTTCATATAAGAAAATACTTTATGCTCGATATAAAATAATTGTAAACAAATAATATAGAATGAAAATTCAAAGTTATTTGGATATAAATCTTGATTTTTATGAAACAAATTGAATATAATATGATTTATATTAATTGAGTAATGCTATAAATCAATATAATTAATATATTAAAAATATGTATACAATTATACTGTTGTATTCGGATAGTTAGCAATGGCTTAAATAATAGCACTGCTGAATTCATAATTAACCTAACAACATATTCAAATTTAAGGAGTAATTTTCAAAATATTAAATGATCATTAAAAAAAAAAGCAAGTAGTTCTCTGAGAATTTTGAACTTTGAAAATTTGAAAGTTTTAATTTTACCTTTGAAAAATAATTTATTAAAAAATTATTATTTATTATGATATTTTGTCAAAAATAAATTGGTTTTTTAAGATTTCTAATTTACTAAAATAATAAAATAGTTCTATTTTATTTTTAAAATAATTGAATGCTCAAAGAATTAACTCCCAACTAACTATTATTTTGATAAATTTAAGTTTAATATTATACTACTATTATTATATAAAAAACATAATAAATTTAAATATTCAAGTATTTTATTTAATAACATAACAATAAAGGAATATATAGATATTTATTCAGTTTTCATAATATATAAATATTGAAAATTGTCCAAAAATTATATTAATAGGTTTTATATTTTATCTCATTAAATAGCATTTTATTTTATAAAATGTATGAGTCAAAATATTGTTAAATTATTTTGACATCAAATTTATTTTTTAACAATATTTTTTTAAAAGAAATTATAAAGCAATTCGATAACAGATTTTATTATTTTCGTAAATATTGACTTATACATTTGATCAAAAATTCAATTATATAATATATAATATAGAATTCAATTATAGGGTATAAAATCCTCAAACATATAAAAAAGTAACGTAACAAAGAATTACGAATACATTCTTAGAAATTCAAACACAAGTAAAAAACAAGTGAAAATCAATATATTTATGTTCGTGATTATAAAAAAACTATCTTAGTAAAACTATTCAAGATGTGGATTATAATATGTATGACTTAATTTAATAAGCTAATCACTTTTACTCTGTTTTCCATGAATTTGTTATATACATCATATTTATTATTGTTTTTATTTACTACATTTGTTATCGGTATATACATAGTTCTACCAATGTTATATATATATTTACTAATTAATCTAATAGATTTAGTTTTATTATTTGAGAAATGTGTATTCTAGTACGCTTTTAAAAATTTTTTTCAAAACAAAATTGAGTTAATTATTATTCATAGAATATATTTAAGAATTTTTATTTTTTCAATTAAATGTTAATAGTAATTCAATATCTATCATTAATTTTATTGTTTTTAATTCCATTCTGTAAATGTAAATATTTACCTTATTGTAATATGAAATAAAAATAAATTTAATTTATATAAGTAGTTATTTTTTAAAAATTTAAATATATAAATTTTAATATTTGTATTTTATATAAATTTTTATTTATGATAATATTATAATATACAATTAAAAAATAAATTGCGTAATAGAAATTTAATAAATATAAATTTTAAGAATATGTATGCGAATTTTTCGATATTGCTTTTGTCAATAAATTTATGAATAAATATTAAGTGAAATTTAATCTTTATTATGTTTTTATTGTTTAACCTATTATTACCAGTACTTTCAATCAGTATTTCCATTTCCTGAATTATTTCACGCATTTTTACAGAAATGTTGTATAATTGTATTGTTACGATGTATTTTATAAATTTATATGTTTTATTCAGTACATTTGTTATTCACACAAATTAGCGATTAATGAATATTTAAAAACGGTTTATTAATTAATTTGTTTATTATTATTTATTATCTTATCATGCAGTATTATATTAATATCATATACTTCTTTATTTTTTAAATTCTGTAACACATCTTACATTTAATTTTTTTGTAATATATTTATATTAGTTTTATTCTATTAAAATGTAAAATTTTTATAATAAAAAATAATAAAGATCATTTGTATTAAATAAACAATTATAAATGCTTTATGATAGATATTAATACTTTATTAACATCATTAAACGTAAATATATATTTTTAGTATATGAACAGTATTTAATACCAAATATATTCAAATTATGATTGCCATTAATATCAGTTAAATTACGAAAACCAAATTATATTGTTAAAGATTCTGGTCATTAGATTTAATCAAAAGGATCTTAATATTCATTACAACGCTGAAAATTTTACAAATAAGATTTGCTTAACACGAGTAGATTATGCGGCAATGAAAGAGTAGAATAAGACTTCAAAAAGAAATGGAGAGGAAAGAAAAATCGAAACCAGCGATGACGTAAGGTTTAGTAATAATGTGTCGACACTTCATTCGCATTGAAGCGACGAACAGCGACGTGTATCAAAGTGACCAAGAGCGAGATCGCCGTCTTAGACAGTTCAGCACTCTCATCTGAGTAGGTAAGTCGAAAATATTTGTCCTGCAATTTGTGAATGAAATTGATAATATATTTAATGTAAAAATAGGTTTTATCTTCTTTACAGTTTAACTTTTTTTAGCTAAATACATTTTTGATTAATAACAATTACTATATTACCTAAGTTATTTTATATTGTGCTAATTATTTAAATATATAATTTTTTAACAACATATAAACGATTTGTTACTTTCTAACTTTTGTACATAACTCAATGGGGATTTATGAATTTTTCTATAAAATGAGTTTTGATCTTATTTAGCTTCAATATTTTAATTTTTTTTTTTTAAATAAGTTGATTATACTTTTTTCAAAAATTTGATACAGATGATTAATCAATTAGGATTTGCAAATATTATAAATGTATTCAAACAGTTTAAATAATAGTCAAAATAATTTTTTATTATTAATTCAATAATAAAATGTTTTGAGTACAATTTGTTTATATGTAAATTTACTTTGTTATATAATAGGTAGTTTTCATTTTATTTTGAAAATAATACTAAAACAGTTTTTATGATATACATTCTAGATAAATTTTATATTTTGTTTGAAAACAATTTATGTAAAAAAATTTAGAATAATTCTTACAAATTGAATATTTTTAAAATTAAAACTATGTTTGATATATAAAATTTCTTCTTCTCTATTATAATGTATTGTGTTTGATTATTATCTAGAAATTATGTCATTTTTTAGTATAATACAGATTTATTAATAATTATTTTATATTTTATTGAAAATTTCTGATTATTAAACAATATAAATATCAAATATTGAAAAATCAAATATTCTCTTAGTTTCTTTTTATTCAATCTCAAAGGCCACATTCGAAAAATTACCATTTTATAAATTATTAGAATTATTTTATCCATTATTATTCATATTGAAAAACATTAAGAATAAAAAAGTCCTTTGTTATATTATGTAAACGAGTCTCCTTGAACTCGTTATTTGCTTTAAACAAATATTAAAAATATTAAAGTTGATTGTAAAAATCGAATCATAGTTGACAATAAATATTACAAATACATTTGCTACAATATATTCTTATTTTCATTATTTTTTTATTAAATGCGAATTAAAATAATATGCAATTATTTATTATATTATTTAATTATTTTATGTGCCTATTTTGGTACCTCAAAATTGAAATAACATTTTAATTTATTGTACAGTTATTTGCTCTTTCATTCTATTTCAAAGAAAAAATAGTAAACTTGTAAATTATTTTCATCTTTTTTCATTTCATAGTCCACAAAGATGAAGTTGATAATTTCCCCGGCTATAGGCTTAGTCCTATTTATTTGTATTAACTCTGTACTCAGCGTAGTAGATCCTCATGAGCATAACAAGATAGTTTGCTACTGGAATGCTTCGTCCTTCGAACGGTCAGGTAAGTTCTATACTTTTAATTAAAATTTGTTTTTGCATGTTCTCAATTTTTTCTTTCAAACTTAATGACATTTATATTTAGAGCTTTATAATATTTTACATAATTTATAAAAAGAAAAAATTATTTATTACATTTATTTTTTGTGTCTTTTGAATGTAACTTATAATATCTTTTTTTTTTTTTTTTTTTTTTGTACGTGTTACGGAGAATATAGGTTTAAATATAAAATAATATAGTGTATAATATGATATATTGAAAATAATGTAGCATAAAGTTATGTAACAAACTATGTTTTAACTAAGTTTTAAACAAAGTTATACGAAATATTTTATATTTTCAAATCGATATATTGGTAAATAGTACCCAAAAGCAAAATATAATGCATAAATAAGAATTGCATATTCTCAAAATAATGTATACATTAACTAATTTAAGATAATCATAATTTGTAAATAAATTTAAAATGTTAATATTTTTTTCACGTTTAATTATAATACATCACAGTGATATGTATAAGTCTAGAACATATTACAAATATATTATAATGTATTATAAACAGATTTATAAATTTTAAAGTAAACATTATGTAATGCCAGTATATAATTTATGGGCGAAAGCAGAAGCGGCAAAATATATGGTGCATTTTAAGAATTGAATAATTTTATATATTTTTCTTGATAATAAACACTAATGTGAAATCAATGTTTACATAAATTTATTAAACTATAAATTCGTGTATTTATAGTCAAGTGATGAATATTGATTTTAAATTTAAGCGAGTTAAAAAATATGTAACACTAAATTTTCTTCATTCGATAGAAATAAAAATTTCCTTTTGTAATATAATGTAGGACCTGGTAAGTTCCAAGTGGACGATCTCCGACCAGCTCTCTCGATATGCACTCATTTGATCTACAGTTTTGCTGGTATCAATGCAGAAAACTTCGAAGTAATTCCGTTAAATCATAATCTGGATACTGGCGCAGGTTATGGATTTTATCGTTTAGTCACACAACTGAAGCGCCAATTACCGGAACTTAAAGTCTATATTAGTATAGGCGGTAATGCTGATCCCTACGAGGAGACTCACAAATATCTTACTGTCGTAAGTGGCTTAATTTTGAATAAACGAAAATTTCATTAATTTAAAATTATTTTTACTTCTTTGATTATACTAAGTTTCATCTATTTTGTATTAAAAATTGCATACATTTTTTGGATTTATGTTTTCTATGTGTAAATTTACTTATATATTAAATTTATATTAAACTCTCAATATTCGGTATTTTAATTAATTTTGCTTATAATTGTGTGTATATGAAAAATTTAGGAAATAAAATATTAAACTTTACATATACTTTATTAAAATACAAATTTAATAATATTCTAACAAATGTAACAGAATTAATTAGTAATATGATATATAATATACAATTATTTTAATAATATACAATTTTTTTATAATATTAATTGTTTCATTAAATAAAATTTATATTTCTTTTTACAATTTACACGTATAATTTTTGTATGTTTTTCATTATATTTGCATTTAATCGAAATGTGTATGCAATTTAAGAAATTTGATAACTACGATAATTAATATGTGCTTAAGATTTAATTTCATTTGAAATTTCATAAAGAATTTACTTAATATTATTTATAAATATTACTAATTACTAGATGGAAAATAATTGAAAATAACATGTTTAAATTGCAAACCATAAATATATATTCCTTATCTTACAGGCTTAGATTATTTTTCCAATTTCTTTCAATATTCTATCTTAATGCCTCATAAAGTTCACGTCGGTCAACTTAATAATCTTTTTTATTTTTCTGATAGATAAGAAATGTAATATGAAATACGATAATATTTGCAATTAATTTTCAATGATAAATGTAAGAGAAAATAAAAATTATAAATAAAAATTACTGTTAAATATTAATTAAAATAATATTGTTCATCAATTTAATGTAAATTTTTCATGAGAGATTCAATAATATTGAATAAATGTAATTGCATGATTTGTGTTACATTAGTAAAAAAACTATTAAAACTATGGAAGTTATAATTTCGTTACTATCACTTTCCCATTACATTTCTATGTTAACACACAATTTCTATGTTCACACTTTCTAACAATTTATAGTTTTCATGTTACATTTAAATAACTGCATTAAAATTTATTAATTGTAATAAGAAATTGAATATTGGATTATATATTTATTTGTTAAATTATTGCCAGACTCATTATTTAATAATCAAAACATATATTAATAAATAAATATATAATATATAATAGTAAGAAAATATTTTGAAGATTATATGTAATATTTTATAATTAAATCGTGTATTTTTACTAAATATTTTTACTAAAATATTATTTATAAAATGTGTGTTTATTACCATTACAATTGCAGACAGAATCGCCAGAGTCCAGGACTAAATTTGTCAACTCCGTAAGTCGTTTACTTGCAGATTATGATTTCGATGGTGTGGATCTTGCTTGGCAATTCCCACCTGTCAAGGTAAAGAAGAACCGTGGCACTTTTAGTTCTATTTGGCATGGAATCAAAAAGACCTTTGGATATGGCAAGTTCAAAGATGATAAAGAGCAAGAGCATCGTAATGGTTTTACTAGTTTAGCTCGTGATCTTAAGAATCACCTTAGAACCAAGAACAAGGCGCTCACTATTACAGTTTTACCGCACATCAACGCTAGTAGTGAGCATTTCAATTTTATTCACAAATAATTTTCCTTTTTATAAAATTAAAATTTTTATAATTAATTTGCAAAAAATTTATAATATTTACAGGTAGTTGAAATTTTAATTCAATAAAATATTCATATATTTTTTTCCTTTACTCATACTATTCTAATTCAAAATAATTTATTACCAATAATGAGGAATTCATTATTATCTGTTTCGTGAATATTTAAGCAGATCTTACAATTTATAATATAATTTTAATACTTTTTTAGTTTACTACGATGCAAGATTATTAGTTCCAAATTTGGATGCAATTCATGTATTTGCATTTGACCAAATTAATCCAGAACGTTCGCCGAAAAAAGCGGATTATCCAGCACCCATTTATGAAAGTTATGGTCGCGAATCTACAGAAAACCTTGATGCTCAAACCAGGTACATAAAATTGTGTCAGGCTACTGTTACTCTCTATATTTTTATTTCTTTTATTTTATTTTTAAACAACGAGATTTAATATGTTTTATGAACATAAAAATACTTTAGCATTATAAATATTTTTTTATATTGTAATTTTACAAATAATAAATAATTGCATCAAATAATGGAATAGAAATAATAAAGCCTATTTTACTATAAAACAAGGAATACATAAATGAAGAAAAGTAATTGGTCAAAATATATTTAAGCATTATTAGAATAAACATTATTATTTATTAACGAGATAAAATAACAGTTATGAACACGTTGGGGATTCTATTTCACTTATTGACTTACTAACAATATCAATAAATACATCAAGAATTAAAATTATTCTCAAATATAATCATACAACTAAATCAAATATATTTATATTTCATATCTAAATCATACGTATAGATTTATTATTATTTATATTTTATTTATTCGAGAACTATTTTATAAAAATATCAACGTTTCATTTTGTTGATTATTATCAGATACTGGCTGGAAAATGGCACTCCTGGAAGTAAAATCGTCGTAGGCATTCCTGCATTTGCTCGTACGTGGAAACTCACCGCAGATAGTGAAGTTTCAGGAGTTCCACCAGTAACTGCCGATGGTCCTGGAGCTGAAGGTCCTCATACGGGTTTCATATGCTGAAGTTTGCTCACGTCTTACAGAGCATACGGTTGGACGTCTCAGACGTGTTAATGATCCTTCAAAGAAGTATGGAGCTTATGCATATCAAAGTTATAACTCCGAGACTGGAGTCGAAGGAATTTGGGTTGGTTTTGAAGATCCAGATACTGCTGGCAACAAAGCTTTGTATGCAAAGGCTAAGGGACTGGGAGGTGTAGCCATTTATGATTTGTCACTAGATGATTTCCGCGGTGTTTGCAATGGCGATAAATTCCCTATAGTTAAGGGGGCTCATTTTAAGATATAGGCCACTTTACTGTGTCTGCGAACATAGTCGAAATGTTGTTTTAAGACAGGAGAAAATATAGCGATAATCTGAAATTAAATTTTTTTTTTTTGGATAATAATTCGAATTTTATTGTACTTTCTCAGCTATTAATGTATATCCATATTGTATTGTCTTTTTTATATTTTATATTAAAGAACTATAATCTAAAGGAACTACAATCATAAATAAAGAATTATTTAATAACTTATTGATCCGTAAGCATTCTTTTTAATTCAACTTTTTAATTCAATTATAGAGTTTTTTATATGAAAAAAAAAATATATATATATATATATATATATATATATATATATATATATATATATATATAATGGTGAGCACATATTTACTGAGAGACATAATTAAGCGAAAAATTTTTGTTACCTGGCTTAAGAGTAGTTCCGATTATAATCGCTTAACTAATAGTTAAGTAAATCAAAAGACAAAGAAATTCCTCTCCTTTTACTAATAAAGTATTATATGATTTTTTATATCATATTGTATATCATATTTTTATATTAGTATTAAATTTATAAGATTTTAATTGAATAATTAATATAATTGAAAGATTTATATATGTTGAATGAGAAAAATAGAAAGAATAAAATTGAAAAGAAAGAAAAAAATGGTTAATTAATTAACACTAATAATTAACATTAATTTTATGGAAATTTAACAATGTAAGTAAAAAAGTAAAAATATTTCAATTCTTTTAATTAATTTGGGTTAGATAAAATCAATCAAAAATTTTATTATACAAGTTAATAATTAATATTTTTGAGAAAAATATTATTGCATTATTACTTTGTTAAAAATTTGTAATTTCTTATGGATAAAAATATAAAGAAATATTGTAAAAAGTATTATAAAAGTCTAATATAGAATTTATTATTATATTATTATTTTTCAAGTACACATCTACGAAGAACTAAGAATAAATAATATTTTCTATGTAATTAGTAAAATATTAGACTTATCTATAAATTTGAATAACATTATATATAACTAATTTAGATTAGTCTTTTTTTGAAAAAAAAGCTAATTTGCTTAAAATATGTAATTGCTAGTAATTTAACAACATAACATCAATAATTAATTATATTGTACTATTTTTCTATTTTAACTTTAAGGAAGTAAAATATTCCAAATGAAAAGTTTCTCAAACGTTTAGAATAAAAATTCAGGAAAGTTTCTATTAATTATTATGGCTCGCTTTAATTAAAATTCGAATACTTTTCCAAAGCATATAAAAAAGATATAGAATAGGTTTTCGATTTTATGTATTAATTAATGTAATTGTATTAATCAAATTTTACAGTCAACAAAAAAATCTATAAAGAAATGTAATTTCAGATTGACTTACGTTAGAGCTTCGGTAATATCACACTAAAATTAAGTATCATTATTTCCATTTTAAAAGTTCTTAAGGATGTTGTATTTATTATAAGCATATGTTATTAAAACAAATCATTCGAAATATAAAAGTTTAAAGTAAGATCCATAAATCATAATTTATGTAAATTAAATTTCATATAATAATATTTATTTTAAGGATATGTATGAAGTTGTAAGGTATTGTAATTACAACAATAAAAAAAAAATTTTCGCTGAATATATAGTCAATAATTCGATATACTAATATCTATTTTATGGGTATTCTATCGTAATATGGGAACAGTATGACACTTACAAATCACATTTTATTTTCCATATAAAATAATATATAGGTATAGCTTTTTGCAAAAATTCCGATCATTTCTATTTTTTTGTAAATTATGATTTAAAATGTTTTATTTATTATTGAAATTCAATTAAACACTCTTGTTATTGTTTGTTTTATTTTATTTTCAATTTAAATCAGTTATATTTCTGCATATTTGGTCTTATCAATAATCAAATATAGATAAATGTTTATCGTGCGATAATTTAATTCGGAATTAACAAAATTACAAAATATTGCTTTAAAACTTCGATAAAACCTGATAACATAGTTTTATAGGTTTCAAACTTACTTCTGTAATTATATAATATAATTTGATTCGTAACAACTATATTTTTATAATTATAGATTTAAAATATTAGAATAGAGAAGAATATTTTTATAGTTTTATTTATTGTTTTATGTACAATAAAAACAATTTCATAGTTTTCCCATTTTATAAATAATATTTTACAGTAACGGATAGGTTATTTTTTCACTTATATACCCACATTCGTTTTATTTTAAGATTAATTATTAAATATAAAGAAACTATAATAAACATAAAAAATATGATATAAAATATATATTGAAAAATGATAATATATCATATATATATATATATATATATATATATATATATATATATTTACTATTTTTACTAATTTATATTAAATTTGAAGGCAGAGTAAATAAGATGGTATTCTTCTCTATTATATTAAAATATATAGTGATCATAAATAAATATAATAACAATAATATTTATTATTATAAGAATAAATGTATTAAAGTTTTATTTGAAACTATGTAAATTGGCGATATAAGTAAAAATTTTAATTGTAATAATACAGTATATGGGGAATATTATAGAAATACTATGGTAGTAGTATTCAAGTGTTAAAAATTATGAGTCTGTCGTAAAATAAATAAAATTAAAATAAATTTAAAGCTTTCCGTTTTCATTCAACAAATGGAATCAGAAACGTTTAATTATTTGTAACACAAACTATTTTATATCTATTTTTATAAAAAACATAAACATATTTTTATACAATAATTTTTAATATTCATTATTTATAACGCGCACCGAAAACACTTAATATAATCAAAAGATTGATGTAGAAAAAAAATGAAGATATTATTAATCTTAATTATATATTTTTTTCAACTCCTTTATTCTTCAGATTTTATAGAATTAATTAACACTATATTATAATTTATACTAATTAATAACTATATTTAGAATATAATAAATATATTAAATACTAAATTCATAATTATGATAATACCTTGAAGAAATTACATTAATACTATGCATAGAGAATAAATTCGGATTCTAAGTTATAACATCAACGTTTCGTAAACAGAAAACCATTGAAAAATTAGTAAAACAATCATTGTAAAGTTATTTTCATAATTCGCGTATTATTTATACTTTCTCTATTGAGTTCAAGCTATTGATCAACATAAAATACATTACTCTGACTAAATTTTAGTATAATTATATCTTAATTATTTTATACTAATATTACTTATACAATAATTCAATATTTTACTAGTATTAAACATTTATAAACATACTCTATAAACGCTTACTGACATTTACAAACATTCAAGGTAAGTCTTAATACTTTCGCTTTTCATTTCTTTTCAATGGAAAACTTATGTGAAAATTATAAACTCATTTCTTAACTCACATTCAATGTTTTCAATGTCTTTCATGGTGTAAAAATATTGTTTACAAATATTTTTAAATAAAAAACAATTTACGAATTAATTTATTAAAAGCAACACATACCAATTATGTATTATTTAAATATATAGTGATATAAATATCATCAAATAAATGAATTTAATATAAAATTTACCAATGTGTAAGTTCAATAAATATATTTTTAACACTTTGAGCAAATACATTATATTTTCCAAAAGGACGATTATTTCTCATACACTAACGATACCAAAAGTAGAATAAGTTTATTACTTATTAAATGACTAATTAAAAGTTTACTTCAAGGTGAATAAAATTTTTTTAAATCTTCAATTTAATTAAAGATATACATAATCGTCGTGTACGTAGCTGTATAAATAAAAACTTTGAAAAATATTTTTTTAATTTTTCATCTCAATTTAGTTCTTATTTTTCATTTTGATTTTTAAAATAAGATCTTTGATTGATTTGAAAAATAAATTATAAATTTAAATATATATAGTTTCAATAAATTGAATTATTTATATGTCTATACTTATTGTACTGATAAAATTCCAATATTGAGAAGCCGTCACTTGTTACACATTTAATTTTATTTCCTTTTGTTTAACTTTTTTATAACTTAAGTATAGATATGTAGAAAATCATATGAAAATCATAGAAAATTATATACCTCAATTATTAAATTTGATCTTTAAAAGCTGGAACGACAGGGACATTTATAACATCATATGAATGTGTATAAATGTGTGGTTTTTATAAAACTTGGACAGATAGATAGAAATTTTTCTCTACTGGTTTCTATATTTTTAAGTCAATATTTTTTTTGATAAAAACGACTACTATTTAAATGTCTTCTATAAAATGTACTGTAATAAAATAATTAATATAAATAAAAACATATAAAGTAGATTTTATTATTCAATAATATTTAGAATCTCTAATACAAATATTAAATTACTTTACTGCTTTTTACCAAAATTATTTAATAAAACTATTATAAGTATACTTAAATGTTTATTGACGAAATAGATAATTTTTAAACAAATAAATGTCTGTCAATTAATGTATTTAGTAATTTCTTGGCCCCACAGGCAATAAATTTTAGACAATAATCTGTGAAGTTATAATACGATATTTAAGGAACTCAAAACTTATCGTTACAATTATTTTGCAATATCACTGTAGTTATTCATTCGTTTAAATTATTCACTCAAGATAAATTGACTTTATCTTAGGTGTTTTACATTAACATTTGTACATTTATATGTATTTTTTTTATTTAAAGAGTATGTTTATATTTTTTATGTGTAGATTTACTCTTTACACTTACATTTGTCTATATTCTGTAAACAATTTACTTAACTATTTAAGAACATTATTAATATATTGTCTAATTTTAACAGTATATAGTCTCACAAGTGCAAATATTTTTAGTTTGCATAGAAATAAAGTTGTCGGTAATTTGTTCATTAAAAATATTTTTGTAATATTTAAAAAATTTATAGAATTACCTAAAAATTTAATCAAAATAAATATTAATGCTTCAAACATAATATTATTCTATTATTTGTATACGATTCATATCTATTTTAATTCTTTTAATGCGAAACTTCGACAGTAATATATTAATGTATACTTAATAGGTTCATAATATCTATAGTAATTGATTTCTTTAGCGGCGTTAGTCGTGATAATAATTTTATACGAGGCTCATAAAAATCAGTTTATAATAATAATACGGTTTATAAATTTCAAAATTTTACTAAAAGTGTCTAATATATTATTAGATATTTTTAGATAATCTCCTAACCAGTTTTTGAGTTGTTTCATAAATCTTATCTATCCATGCTATTATCAATACAAATAAGTTTATTAAAAAAATTTTTTTTATTATTTATGAAATAAAAATATATTGTAAAACGACGCTGGTCATCTATCGATTTGTTTTGTTTTCTGCATTTGATGATAAGTAATAGTTAACGATTAATTCTATAACTCAATTTATTATTTAGTTATGCTCGTATAAATTACGGATAACGGTGAGATTAAATATTATATTCAATTAAACTAGTTCCATCTTCTAAATATATATATATTTTTTTTTATAATTTTTTTTCCAAAACGATATTTACCTTGTTTTGGTTAATTTTCGTTTAGCATATAGTTGCAAATATATAATTGAAATATTTATAAAATAATGTTTTTTATGTGTAAACTATTAGCAATTATTTATTTCCGTATAATTGAAGACAATATTATGAAATTTTAATTTATGAATATACTTATAAAAAATTAATAAAAGTATTTTAAAGTTATATGTTTTTCCTATCACAAAGAAATTACAATAATAATATATTAGTGTAAATTAATGTGAATTCATTAAATGAATCATTTAAAATGTTTATAACAAATTCAAAAGAATTGAATATAATTATAATTTGTATGTATTTTAATGATATATTTAATTTCGTTTATGCTTAATGTATGCTTCTGTGAGTAGAATAATATTTACAAAACACGTATGACTGATTTAAGAAATTTGTTCTTAAATCCTGTAATATGCAATTAAATAACTTTTTATGCAAAGTAAAGATTTCATTGCATGGTGTAGAGATATATTTCGTAATACCGAAATATGGATTTAGTCTTAAAATATTTATATGTGAAAATTGTTATATTAATAATATTTAATGCAAATAAATGTTTATTAAAAAAATTGTAATTGAAATACTAGAAGCTGTAAAATTTATAAAATATCTTAAGTCAGCATAAAGCATTCTATTAGTGTAATCAAATAATTTCGTCATAATAATAAAAAGAAAAATCCACTTGATAACAATATCACAGAAATATTTATTAATTGCATAATGGTCACCCGATTGAATTTACTTGATTTTTTGAATAGGCGATTATAAAGATTATTATAATACGCTTATTTTAGTAACTTTGCATTAAGTTATGTAGAATTAGCAGTGGTCAATTTTAAAAAAATAATTGCTTCTTATTATAATAATTATTACATTCCATTTAATGTTTTTAAATATAATCGAAATGTGCATCAAATATTTTATATTCATTAAGACATTTCCTTGTTTGAAGTTGCAAGAAGACAGAAAGAACACAGAGGCATGGATTGCAATTCGCAATTTATTTCATTTATATTTTGGCATTAGCCGCAAATAGTGTATTATCAAGGAATACAAAACCTCAAGAATAGAATTGGATAAACAGATTTTACGTCATTATTTAATGTTATTTGTCCATGATCCCTCTTTGCTCCAATATAGATGAGAATAATATTGATTTAAGAGAAAGTGGATGGGATTGTCGTGTTTTTTCTATTCGAAAGTGTCAGAAACCACTGTCGTGTATTAGTTAATTAAAAGTCATCGCGTTCCAATTGGAATAACTACTTACTGAGCTATTAGTTGCTTGTATTGTTACGATTTTATATTTAAAAATAAATCTCTTCATATATATATATTTCTTCTATTTAATTATTTTTATAAATTAATTTTCGTCGATTGATTATACTTAGACATTTTGCACATTTATAATGAGTAAATTTGTATACGAACAAAATTACTTGATGAAGTATCTTATTATATTTCATCATGAAAGAAACTTGATGTGCAATTATTAGTTATTTAAAAAAAAAATAATATATTTATATTTTTTAAGTTTAAACAATTTATTTTTTATATAAAATTGTAATAATATTTGTATATTATTCAATTTAGCTTGCTTGGAACACGACTAAATTTTTGAGAATTGTTGAGATAGAATTTCCCTTTTCGATGCTTGTTCTGCGATACAAATATTTTTTTGAACGTTTTTTGTTAATTTTATAAATATTTCTTCTTTAATAGAATATATTATTTATTTTTTCAAAATGTATAATAAAGAGAAGTTTATTTGTTTAATAAAATTGTCATGAATTAAAAGAAAAGGCAAAATACGATTAGTCGGTCTTTCAAATAATTTGAATATTTCAATTAAAAAAATTTGTAATCAATAAATATTTTAACTATATAAATTCTCCTTTATTATGAAAATATATCTTCATAGTAAAACGTAGCAATATAAAAGAAAATTTTTATTAGTAACATATATTTATCGTAATGATTTGAAATATATCATATAATACATTATAATCATATAATAAATCTACACATATATATTAAAACTTAATTACTTATTTTCTGAATTTAATAATTAATAGAAAAGTCTATTGTTACTATATCTAGTTTTATATCTATATTGTTGGATGTACGTAATATTTTTTGAAGTTAAAAATAAAATCAACATTATTAATAAAATAATTGTATTAATAGTTTCAAGTATTTGCTATTAAATAGTCGATCTGTTTACTTATTATAAATTATTAAATTTTCTAAATCTCACTTTTATAACATGTATAAAAAAAATTTTTAAACGTTTCCAAATTTCTTAAAATTTAATTAATTAATTGTATTAATTAATATCTTATCGATTTGAGTATGTTTTAACAATAAATTCAAATTATTTTTTATAATAAATTAGGGTTGATATAAGACGTTTTATAATTTAATTTTCTATAGTATTTTTAAACTTACTGCTATAACAATTATGGTTAGTCTAAATTTATATTATTTACTTTAATTATATTAAATTTTCTTTTTAAAAATGTTTTAAGGCAAATGTTTTTCTTGTATGTTATTCAATATTCATTTAAATATTACTTTAATTTATTTTTAATAAAAAATAAATAATTTTTTTTATATATAATATTATATTTCAATCAATATAATGTATTATTTCGCTTTATAATTTCATTTACCTTTAAAATTTTCTCATGAATTTTGTAATAAAATAAACGAATTATAATTGTATTTATCGATATTAGATATATGATTTTTATAATTTTCTCCATAAAAATATTATTACATACATATTATAAAAAATTTAGAATACTTAAAATATTTTCAAAAATAACAATTAGCATTCATATTTATATAAATGAAGACAGCATTTTTACTTATTGAATTTACTGAATTTAAGTTTAATAAATTATTGAAAATTGACCATATTATAAGAATGTTGGAGAATAGATATTTTGCCTTAAAACGATCTATTGTTATATTTATATATTTATATTATTATTTAAATTGCATACTAAATTATAGATATATGATTGGATACATTTCTAATAAAAATCTATTAACGGACTGTATAAAGTTTTATAACATTTTACTTCTATGAATTTTAGTAATTACTTATAAATAAGCTATATCGTTTCAAACAATGAATCAAAAACAAACAAATCAAATATTTAGACAATATACTTTGCATTTTAATTCTTATTTTACTACACGACTAATATATATTCGATTACTTATTTCAAGCATTATTACTTTATGTTGATCTATTTTCTACATAGTATATGGAATGAAGATATATTCTTAAATGCACTCATTTCATATATATATATATATATATATATATATATAAATATATATAAAGGAAAAATATTTTATAAATAAAGCTTGGAAAAAATTTTCCATGTTCAATGGATTTTTTATTACGTTATGAAAATTAAAGTAATAACACAAAAGTATTTATTAAAAATTTCTATTCTTGTATTAATATCCGTGTTGTGTATAATGAAGTTACAAATCAAAATCTATTCTATATAATATCTAAACGCTTTATTATTATATCCTAAATCAAGCACTTTAACGAAAGAGGAAATTCAACCTCATCCTACCTCTTATGAACGTTTTGATAGCAAAAGCTTCAATAAATTCTCTTAATTACTACATTACCATATGCCATAATAGACGCGACTTTATAATTAAATTCTACATGACGGAACAACGTGAGACGTTGTATCGATTTTCTTGGTCCACATTATTAATGCTAAGCACCTTGAGCAAACGCTCGGTATCTTTGAATGCACCTTCATGATAGTTATCTCGGATACCTTCAACTTCTATCATCGACTTTATAGTTTTTTGACGCATTGTAGTTATCATCATACAGTGACATCTTTTCCGTTTTCGCCTACGATATTTCGGAAGGGTCAATTCAAAAAATTCACTCAGACGGAAGCGAATCGGCCATATTTTCACTGCTTTGTTGACACGGATTTCGACAAGATCGTCAATTACTTGGTGTATTTGTTTATGTCCCTTCTTCTTATCATCCTTATATTTATATTTACTCTGTCCCTATGTTAGTACAAAAGATATTTAAATTTAAAATATTTTGTAGAACATAATGTAAACTCAATATACTTTATTTTATTAATGGTTTAAAAATTTACTATTGGATTTTAAATCCAGATAAAGGTTTAAATAAAATGAATAACATTTATGATTTATTTATATTGTGACCAAAGACATTGTGCTGTCTTTGACATGTATTATATGATAAATATAATACTATAGGTATAAATTTTAAATTCATAAAACATTGTGCGTAATTTGAGAAACTACAATTAAATTAAATTATAGAAAATAAATCTCTTTTACTTAATGAATATAATATATATATATATATATATATATATATATATATATATATATATATATATATATGTATGTATATATGTATATGTAATTACATACGAATGATAATACAACATATTTAAGCTTTAATCGATTATATTTATATGATTATAATAATTCATAGAGAATTTATTTTGAAATAATTTTATTGAAATAATGTTTTTTTTATTAATTGAAGAGAACGAAAAATAGAATATTTTATAATGTAAAATAAATCAAATTCAATCTAACCTTATCTTCTAAACATAGTTCCTCTTGCGTTTTTTGCTGCATTTCCTGATTGTGTATATGCTCATTGTTATTCCAGTCATCGATTACCAATTTATTTCTTTGTAAATAGCTGTCTTGCACTCTGACAGGCCTATCCAGAGATGACCGATTTCGCGCCGGTGTGGCTAGTTTCTTGTGATGTTTATCCGAAAGATGTTGCAGCTTTGTGTCATTGTGATTACTGCTGTTTGAGTTACAGCTTTTTGACAGCCATCGTCGTATTGAAGGATCTTTGACACTTATCAAGTAACTTTCCAAACGTCTATTACTAGTGCTGTTGTTTCCGGTTGTAATTGCAGCTGCTTGAAGATTATTGATTTTTTTAACCTTGTTCTTACCAATTGTATTTTTATTACTATCGTTCTTTTGGTTTTTGCCATTACTATTATTATTCTTATTATTCCTGTTGTTTTGATTATTGCTACTGCTGTTGTTATTTTTCTTAGCAATGATCTTACCATTATGAGCATTCAGTTTATCACTCTTACGGTTAAAGTTCTTGTTACTAATAGTATTATTATTGATATTATTTTTATTATTAACATTGTTTTTATTCTTTTGAAGGAAATCATGACGGCACTGCTCAGGACACTGCAGACAATCATAGTACTTTTCCGAGCCTGTTTTTGACCCGGTAACATGCGAACGAACGTGATTTCGTCTGTGTCGTTCGCTGTCTGTATGGGCGTTGGAAGCACGCCGTCACACCTCCTGGAGAAATTTCAATGGACAAAGTACCTCCTTGTAGCGAACCTCACCGTTCAATTGACCGGATGTTGGTACGTGCGTAGCATATCGTACCATTGCTATGCCATTGTACTCATCACTTACTTGCACGACGATCTAAGTAGTTTTTATTTGTTTAGTAAGCTTAAATAATAATAATAACTTGAATAAAAATGTGGATATTTATTTATTCTACTTTCGAAGTCTTCATTTGAAAAAAAAAATTAATTTACGTTTGAAATATATTTATTGTCTAAACTTTATGATAAGTTGAAAAGTTTGCAATTTTTTTTTGAAGCGATGCCAATTAATTAATTTTTAACAAAAAATGTCATCTTTTAACGTACAATCTTTGTAATATAATATTATTGCAGTGTATAACTATTCTAAATTGTTTATGAAATCTTTAATTTTTCAAAGTAATATTTCATATATTATATTATATATTATAAAGTAATAAATTATAACAAAAATTTTTTAAATTATTATTAACATGCACCTGTTAGGAGTAATTTCAATTATTTACACGCTATTGATGTTTAGGATTAACGAAGTTTATGTAATTATTAATTAAAGATTTCATTTATTGCATATTGGCTTCAATATTTAAAGATGCGATAAAAAAATTTGTGAATATGAAATTAATTTTTGCTTACTTGAGAACAGAAAAGAAATGTTTCATTCGGTAATTGTAGATTTTTCATAACTTGTAAGGTTTTCTGACCGGATTCAACTTTCATTACGAATGTTCTAGGAAAAAAACCTGCACGTCCTCCTAAACATTTTCCCTCCCACCACTCGCTACGTGACTTGTCAATGACAGTTATTTTATAGCCAGCTCTGCAAGACATAGTACAGACGTATACATAAAATAATACAGACATAATATAGACACATATATAAAATAAATTAATTTTATAGGATTTATTTTTAAATATATTCAGTGGATATATTTATTGTCGGCGCCCTATATATTAAACATCGACACCATGATTTGTCATGAAATATTAATGCCCAATGGTAAGAGATAAAATATTCAATGAAAATATTTTGTACAAAAAAGAAAGCAATAACGTTTAAGAAAATAAAAAAAGAGCGAACAAACATTACAGTGAATCTGCAAGGATTTAAAGTGCCAAGTAATGGAGAGATAGAAAATTCACAAAAAGGAAGAGGGGATTCAGACGAAAGATCGAGTTTGCCCGAAATATATAATGAAACCATTATTATTAAACTATTTTTAATTGAAATATCTTCGTTGAGCTTCATTCATTTTCGATACATGTACTTTTCTCATTTAATTATTTTGTGCTTTTTGATGATTACCTGCGATTTGAATTGCAACCTAAGCGGTTGGCACACGAGTGCACCAGTTATCGTCGATTAAGAATAAAGCGTATTACATTAAAGAATTATTTAAAGTTGTGCTAGGGAATCACATTAGACTATAATACTTTATGACTATTGTATTTGGTTTATAAATATTGTAATATTATTTATAAAAAAAAAGTGCATACAGCGGATGCACGTTCATTACAATTAATTTGTTTTCGTACAAACACAATCACACATTTATAATATTACCACACGTGTGTCTGTATAGATATATACTATTTTTAATAAATGCTTTAATATAAAGTAATTAAATTTAATATAAATAAATAGTTATATTTGTGCAATGTATATATATGTATGTTCGGGGAATAATTGCTTGAAATTGTAATTAAATTTTATTTAATTATATGAATATAATTTTATTGCGAAATAATTTTCATATAGGAAGATCTTATTTTAAAATATTAATATTAAATAAAGTTAAAGATAAATAACTTATGATAATATAAAATCTATTAATTGTATATATAGTTTCCTGTATATAAGTATGTAAATAATTGACTATAAATTTATTAAATTCGTCAAATTTAAAATATCCATTTTAAAGGGATTAAGAAGCTCAGTCTTAGTTTTTAAACCTCATATAATTAATTTGATAATAATAAAAAATGAATAATACTTTTATGTGTAATTTGCGCCCACAATTTGCTATCAAAAATACCCTCTAAAACTCATAGCGATACTGAAAGTAATAATTATAAAAGGAATTTTACAAGGAAACATTAAAATAATACTAATTAAATGTTAAATAACTATAGAAATACATAAAAAAATTTACTAACAAATTCATTAAATAAATAAAAATTTTATTCTAATTGCAAATGTAATATATAAATGAATAAAGGATTTATTACTTACTTGAGTTCGAGTTGGTCTTGGTATTCTGCAACAAAATTATAAAGTGCAACATAGAGATTGTGAGGTGGAAGCATGCGTTTGCTGAATGGATTCAAATGATTTTGATTATTCATATGAGGCGATGGACAAGGCGAAGTACTAGTAGACGAATAGGACTTCTCATTGTCATCAGGTAGCTCGACGCTAGACATCCTGATAGTTCCTCGAATGTGTTGCTTATGGATACCAGGAATGCTTTGACCCGGACTGCATGGCGCTGCTAAACATTAGTGGCAAAAATTAATGTTAGCATAATAATTAGTGTAAATTATTGGCAAAATAAATGTGAGATCTATTATAAATATTAGGAGTATACTACTGTCCTCAACAGCGCCAAGTTATTCATATTGAATACTCAAGTCAAATGATAATGCAACATCATAAAGTGAAATAATAACCATTGAATATCGTTAGATTATTTAATTATTTTTTACAATTAAAGGATTCGTGAATATTAATTGAATATATTCTGAATATTAAAAGAATATAAACGAATTATGTATTTTAAGTTAATACATTATGAATATTAAGATATTATTCATGAATATAATTGGATAGAATATTTATACATAAAAATATTCACCTAACTATGCACTGTTGAATAAATTTGAAATCTCAACATTTCTTTTAAGTTAAAAGTAAAATATTTTATGGAGATAATAAAAATTAGTAGCACTTTAATATGAAAAAAAAGTTCAATTTCTCATTCAGTCTTTTAATTCTATCGCATTATTTATTTAGTCGAATATAATTATATACTATCAAACACTAATTTAATAGATGTAGTTATATTAAGATGTTTTAATGAGTATTTGTCATTTACTTTGATTTTTTATTGATAAAATGAATTATTGGAAAAAGAATTTAATTGTTAAGTAAAATAATTTCATGTTTTTTTTTTCATATTGTGTGTTTCATATTGTTATTGTTCATTTATTTTCATAATAATATGCAATATTTAATAAAAATTTAACTATTAAAAATATTTAATTATTGTTTAATAAAAATTATTTGGTAAAAGTTGAGTTTTACTTTTCTTTAAAAATAGATATCGACGAAATAAATTAATTAAGCAGTAATCTTCCATGATAGGGTTAAAGTCAAGTTCGATAGCCTGATAGTCTGAATTGGTTCATGCCGACGCTCGGAGTTCTAAGATGTGGTTTACGTTTTTGTCATGTGCGCTGAGTAAAAAAAAAAAATATAATAAAAGTAAATGAGCGAGGTAGACTTGACGAAACTCGGGGAGATAAAGAAAAGCTCGGTACTTCTATATACGAGGAAAAAAGAAAGCAATTTATTTAAATTAATTCGAGTTCCTTAGGTATCAACAAAACGAATCATTTTAACTGGCGAGGATAAGAAGAGAAACGCTCTGGAAGGGGAAAACCCCGGGTTCTTGGTTAGCAACCGGTCGAACAGACGGTTTAAAGGAACTTTCTACTCGACGACGTTCAACAGTGGCAGTGAAGGAAATTAACAAACCAACTACCGGAAGCTCGAATGCCCCAGAAGATTGTCTCGTTACGCTACCATCCATGTATCTTTAACTTGGTGCCCAATGGTTGTGAGTAATGAGTAGCAAGGGCGCCGCAAAATATGTAAGCTATGCTCGATCACTGGGATTGGAAACTTCGATACGCAATTTCGGCAATCCCGTATTCCGTAGTCCTAGTACATTTGTCGGAGTTCGCCTCTTACTTTATGCTCTTTATGGGAGCAAACATATTTACGTTTTCACGTGACGAGGATATAATGCCTTACATCGTTATGCAATTTTCTCCAAGTACCACAAAGTATTTAGTTGCACGTGTCTGGGATATTCCAATTGGAAATTAATAATCAGATAAAAATAAAAAAAAAAGATTATATGACATTTTATTAAATTGCAATCTATTTCTTATGCATAGACATTATAAACAATTTCATTATTTTATACTTTTATCATTTTTATGCGAGATGAGAATTTAAATATTACATTTATCATATTTTCTTTGAAGATAATAATGAAAATATTCTTTGTTTAATTTAAAATTATTGGTAAAATACATGATGATTATTGATGCTTTCATTGCAAAATAATAAAAATAGGTATTTCATTCTATAATAATAAAAAAAAATAATAAACAAAAAACTCATTGGAATAAAGAAGATCAATTCAGAAGCCGTCATACCTGTTATCCAAATAATAATATTTATAGAAAATCGTATAATTCTATTGCATAAATGAAAAATGGAAATCGAGACGTCGTGTCGTAAATTATTGAGTAATATTAAATGATATTTTAATCAAATCGTGTATATTAACATAAAAAAATCTGGTACCATTAAAACTATCGTCTAAATACCATGCGTTTCAATAGTGATATATATATATATATATATATATATATCCTCATCCTATATGTATAGCTTAGATTAATAATACCTATGGAGAAATTTCAATGGACAAAGTGCCTCCTTGTAGCGAACCTCACCGTCCAATTGACCGGATGTTGGTACGTCCGTAGCATATCGTACCATTGCTACTATATACTATATATTATACTATATATTATTATTAATTAGGAGTAGGCTTGAGATGAGATCTAATTTAGGCATATGACAGGAAGAGCACTTATTAATTCATAAACTATGATTTTTTTGTCGAGAGATTCATAACTGAAGGCGAATAATAATGTAATCGCTAATAATTTCATCTAATACAGGCCTTAGCTTTAACTGATGTACCATTTTTCAAACTATTATACATTTTTTTATATAATTATAAAAATTAATTTTTAATAATTTCACTAAGTTTCGTGCTTATATTTCAAAGTATTTTAAAGTTCCTAAGGAGTATGGAATAGCTACATAATTAGAATTTATTAGAATAATCAGTTCAATGTATACTTTAGAATAATATTTAATCTAGATTTTTTTTTAATAGGTGATATAATAAGGTCAAATTTATAAATATTAAACAATAAAATTCAATTAAGTAAATTGCAAAATTTTTAAAATAATTTAATAATACATTTATTGTTCATCAAACGATATAAACTAAATAGTATAATTATTTATAATATACAATACTTAATATTTATAGCAATTAATAAATTAATAATTTTTTAAAATAAATAAGAGATGAATAGAGCGAGAAAGAGTGAGTGATTAAGAAAGTCATAGTCATGTGATAACATAACACATCAGTAATTAATGAAATTATATTTATGCGAAAAAAGCTTATTAAATTTTTTATAGTAGATGACCTTTTATAATGTCCGATTGTAAGAAATATCTAAGTATTCACTTATAAACTTCCTTTGCAATCTATACATTAATATATTTTTTTTATATTAAAATCACAAATTTGTATATATTCGTAAACATTTTCTAGTTATACCAATTTTACTATATCGTTTATAAATATAATAATTATGATCATTATTACATGCTTCGCAATGAAAAATTGAAAATAAAGCTACATCGACTAAAGAATTTTCTAAATTTGTACTTACATAATCGATTGATGCTGCCGCTGTCGGAGCGCCGAGGCGGTGTAGATTCTCTTTGGCCAGAATTATGATCTCGGGGCCGATGACGTATGTGGACCGAACCTTCCGGCGAATCCAGACTCAGACTTTTCATTCGTAGATTTAGTCGCTCTCTTCGACGCTGAGGACTATGTGGTGCTTTTCAAATAAAAAGCGTAAATTAATGTGGAGGACTATTCTATTTGAATTTTAGCCGACGATTTACATTTTAAAAGCGTTCGACAATTGCGATAATTTTTAAATTAAAAAAGTTTCTTTGATGAAATAATTAATTTTATGCTGAATGTGTGCATTTTGACCATGTCAAGGTGATTTAGTATATATAGAGAACTTTTGTTTTGCGATTTAAATTTTCGATTTGTTTTTATTTAAAATTTTATGTTTTTGAAGCAAATGATAATAAATATTTATAATTTGATATTTATTTATTAAGCTTTGTTTATTTAGTAAGCGTTGTTCTGTGTAGGTTGGTTTTATTAATATTATTTTTTTATTAATTATAATTATTAATTTGAATGCGAATTACTTTACAATTAAATAGATTTTTTCTGTTTAACTATCAAAAACATATAGACATTTCAAAAATACACATATCAAAGATTATATAGACATTTATCATTATATTTAATTGTAATAAAATTATAATTTACAATAATGTCATAAAATTTACAACTAGAATAATTATTTGTTTGAAATTGTTGTCATTTTGTGTGAAAATATTCCTAAAATACAATACTCACATGCACATTTATTTATGATCATGCATTTCGCTCACAGATACTTATGTAAGCAATCGTTCTTTGAAGTGAAAAGGTAGAAAAATAAGAATAAGAAATATAAGGAGATTTGAACCTGAGAAAGAAAGACAAACGAAGAGATAGACAGAGAGAAATAGAGAGAGAGAGAGAGAGAGAGAGAGAGAGAGAGAGAGAGAGAGAAAGAAGTGCCAGTGAATATTACATAAGCAGCTATACTTCTTGGGAGATGCTAGATACTCAGAATCCCCATCAGGGTTACTTTCATCACGTTTGTCGACACAAGTTACATTTTACTTATCTGCATCCTCGAGGGTATGACAGTGTTATATATCATGGTATATTCTTAGTTTTTACATTTTATATTATTTTTTATATTTTTTGAGCAAAATAATTTCTTTTTTCATATACTTTTTATATTTCATTTACAGTAAAATCAGATTATAATAATGTATTCAATTTATTTATATTATTTTATGCCGAAGTTTTTAAATAATTATTTTAATTGTAAAATTACAAACCATAAAGTCGACTAAACTCAATGATTTTCCATCTTATAAAACTATATATATATATATATATATATATATATATATAACTACCATGTAAAAATTGTGTATAATAACAATTCTATTATGTTTACTGCTATAGTAAAAGGAAATCGTTTTATTAGAAAAAATATGAATTTCTCTTGATACCATAATTAAAGAATTATGTGGCATATCGTCATAATAATTGGATATATACGTACTTTTATATATATTATATGCAGTAAAATAAAAAAAATTATAAAATTAAAATATATTTCTATTAAATATTCCTTCTATAAAATTTTTTCTGATTTTGGTGCACATCGGATAAAGTATCGGTAGTTCATTTGTTATCAATATTTTTTTAAATCGTTTTTTACACAATAGACATTTTTAACAAACACAATAGATATTTCAAATACAAATAACTTGTATTTATTTAAAAAAAATATATATATATATATATTATAAATTTATGATAGTTTTGTATATATTACAATAATTTTAATGTAATGTATAAATAATGAATTAAAGAATCCAACGCTAAGATCTGTCAACTTATCACAGAAAAAATTGCATATCACATAAATATTAAAAAAAAAATCCATTCCTTGTATTCAATTAAAGTAAGCATACAAAGTATAAAAACAATTTCATGCGAATATTAGAATTATTCCTTGTAATATTTAATAATTTTCAAATTTAACAAAGCTTTTAGCGACATTTCAAAATTTCGTACATTAATAATGCTTTTCATTCAATTTATAAATTGTCAACTTATATTATAAATTACATTCATATTATAAATTATTAACTTATTAAGAAGTATTTAGAATGTAATTTAGTAATGCAACATTGAAAAGTTAAACCAAGAATAGAAGATTTATTAATATTTATTAATATTATTGATATTTATTTGACTGGATGATTGATTCTTATTGAGTAATACATAGCTGCCAGATAAACTTCCAATATATCTACCGACTATGCCATAAATATTTTACGACAAATTGTGTTAGGAGATGATTTTCACGTTTTATTTTGATTTATTAATAAACGAATGTCACAGGGAAAACTGATGAATTTCCGAGCCAATATGGCAGAAGTAAAAGCTTCGGATATGTTAGGAATTTTAGTTATTAATTTAAATGTAAAAGTTAAATATCGGTTTTAGAAAAAATAAAACGAACCGATTTAATAGTTAAATGTTTCGAAAAGTTGGCATTAATTTTTATACTTGCAAATGGAGTTTTATTTATTTATTAGATCAGTTTATAAATACGGTATAATATGAGCACAAAAAATAAAATATAAATAATAAAATATAAATACTAAGTATACAGTAACTTTTTTTATAATTAGTTTAATATATTTCAATCAATATTTATTGTCGTACAGATACATAATAGAAAACATTTGTTAGTTCATATAATATATACTTTAATATATTTATATACATATGTATCGATAATTACAAAAGCATCTAAAACAAAAATATTGTTTTGTCAATAGTTAAAGTTAAATAATATAAGGACATAAGTAAACAACTAGTATATTTAGAGAATTATTTCTGTTCCAAAACTGAAATAAAACACGTATTAAATATAAATGAATTGATTATTGATTTATTTTTATCTTTTAGCTTCCTTAGTTTTTCTTACTTACCTTATTGTTGGAAATAATGTCTTTGAATATTTTTTATTCTATTGAAATGAATCATTCTTAATGAAAATGAAATTTAATTTTTGCATAAAGTATTAATATCGTAACTTTTTTTAATATTTTGAAATTATAATTTTGGGATCTTAATTAAAAAATGATTTTAATAAATCATGCATTCAATATTCAATATATTTTTAATTATGAAAAACTTCAAAAAATAAACTTCTGAAAGCTATAATTTATTATTAAATCACTAAAAACTATATATTTTTTATCTATTTCATATCTATTTTAGATCATTAATCAATTTTTGACTAATCTATTTCCATACAATTACTTAAAACATATGATATTTAATGTTTTTTTAGTTACACAATAATCATTTTTTAAAAATTTAAACTAAATAATAATAATTTTTTTTATTTGTTTATTTCTGTATAGCGTGCATTAGTTTAAATTTATTTGTCTTAATATATTATTTGTATTATATTATTATATTAATATTAATATATTTTTATAATATGTGCAATTTATGTAATATACATATTATTTGTTTTTTCTTTTGACCTTAATATAATTTAAATATAGTTATTATTATTGACTTTGTAGATAGTTTCATATTGATCAGATTTTGTTACTGATTTTTATACAATTTTTTTTGTTAACATATACAATAAGCTATTAATTCATCTAGCTTAATATGATGTAGATTATTTTTAGATTAACATTTAATATTCTTTTATTTAATTAATCTTTTTATTTAATACATTTTCATACGAATATTGAAAATTTGGAAAGAAATAACTAAGTTACTAGTGATTAGCCGATTAATCGATTAGCCGAGTCAGTGATGCAATAATCGCGTATATCAGCGTACCAGCTAGTCGAGGCTATAATGAATCAACATATTTCTAGTTTTAATCATTTAGATCAGAGAGTAAAATTAGCTCTCGATTGTTAAATTAAATTTTTTGTTACGTAACTCTATTTAAACATTTTATTTAGATATTCATACCTTTAATTACAAAACAAGGATTAAATCGACTAAAGAAGTAATTTTTATTAATAATAATTATGTATTTGCTGAGTTTCATGTAAGATAGATAGATATCTTATAAGTCGTATATTTATCGTTTTCTACTTTTAAAATTAAATTTTTGAGCATATTTTACTTCCAATTTCAATAAAACATATTTATCCATTTTTATAATTTTTTCTGTATGTCTCATTTGTCTATGTATTTTCAATAAATAAATATATTAATAAAATGCAAATCATGAAATCTAAAAATTATTCACTGGAATTCATGATTATGGTAATTAATTAGTACACTTACATATAAGTTATAAAATATGAAATATGATTAATATTCAATTATTAATTTCGATAATTTATGAAAAATAATAGATTCATTAGCCAATGTTACTTAAGTACTTGTATACTTTCAATAAATATTTGTAGTTTATAATTTACTTATATGTTTTACAGTTAGAAATTAGAACGATTTCTTAAAATTGAATTATTAGGAAGAAAAATTGATTCGATTTCAGCTAATAGATACAGTTGATCTCGATATTGATATTGATTGTAAGAAGCCTTAGAAATTATATTTATCGTAATTATAAGTTAAACGGGTCATTTAAAATTCTAGAAAAATTCGAAGATTATTTTACACAACTATATAGTTAAAATCACATTAGATTAACCGATCTTGTTAGTTACAAAACATATTGATTTTTTAATGTTTGAATAATTTTTTATATTAAAATTTAATATCTATTTCGTAATAAAATATTTATAATATTATTAATTTATAACAAAATCATTTCCAAATTTTTTGTATTTAAAAGGAAAAAAATATAAAAAATATATTTCAAAGAACTTCGGTGAAATTATATTTTTGTTACGTACAGTAATTCCAAAAGGAAAACTGAAAAATATTTATATATAAAATAAAGTTTTTCTATTTTTAAACATTTTCGTCAATATGTGTCAGTTATGAATATATAAGAATTCCAATTATATGCTTGCGGTTAATCTTTCATTTTTTAAATTAATTATTGATTTTTATTTCACATATGCCAATACATATCTTTCAAATAAATATAACTTTCTATTTAAGAGTTTATTAAATTATCAAAATAACTATTCTCTTTTCCTTTTGAGTTATAAATTTGACTTAACAGTATAA